AGAGCATTTTCTGTTGCTTCAGAGAGGAGTAGAATGAATGAATAGAAATTAAAGGGAAGCACATTCTGTCCTAACACTGAGACTAGATTGGAATATCCTCTTCCAGTGGGTTGAGATTTTTAAGAATGTTAATTACTAGCTTATTATCTTAAGATGTAATTAATGCAAGATTTTTGTTTGTCTGTTTATTGGACACTCTAGAGGATATATAGTAAGGGTTAGGTTGAAAGTAATGTTCTGGAGGGGATGCTAACTCATGTTTTCAGTTTGTTCTATGGTGGCACTTTTTTAGTTTATTCATAAGATTGTTAGTATGGTGTTGGGAAAAGAAATAAGCGTTAAAGATGAGAATGTGATATTAAATTATATTCTAAAAAATTGGAACCTATCAAAGTATGAAGAACTTTAGATTTATTGTGCATGAGCTGTAGCTAAAAATATTGTTTTATTCTGGAGAAAACTATTACACATGATTTAAAACCCTGGATAGAAGACATGTGGTCAGTTTCTATGTATGAACTGGCCTTCTACTGACAGAATGGAATGTCTGATCACATTATTCTATTCTGCCAATGTTTAATTTAATTTAAGATTTGAAATTTTAGTTCTGTAAAAATTTATTTCAAGAGAGATTTTCTCTCTTTTCATTTTTGTTTGTGTTTTTACATGTTTCTTGTCATTCATTTACATGCACAAACATACTCTCTAAGTCACGGATTTTTTTTTTAGTTATAGTTTTATTGAATAAGCCATATTGGGAATTGGTTGGGGGTCATACCTTAGGTTAAGCCATAAATGGCTTAAATGACAACGTTCATATATTGTACCTAGCCAAAACCAACCCTTTCACACCTCTTTTGGCATAATACAATGTGTGAACCTGTCTCTGAAAAACTTTATAACAGTAGAAACAGACCTTGGCACAATGGGATATTTGGAGCCAGATTTTGCTGGAAATTTTTAAGCAGAAACTGGATTTTTCCTATGAAGCTTCAGCATGTTAGTTGTCTTAACTGTGATTTATTCACACTACAGTTTATTTATAGTTTGCTTGGATACAAAACAAGGAGAACCATAAAGAGTTTTCTGCCAGTTGAGATATTTACGTTCCTGGTATCAGATTAAGAATTGATCTCACTCATTGTTGAGAACAGGAAGTTATTAGAAAGGCTGGGATTATAAACTATCTCTGCTGGATAGCAAAGTCCTGACTCACAGGATCTAGATTTTGTGTTATATTTCCTCAGTACCCATAGGTAAAATTCAGTTCTCCCCTCCATGAACACAACTCTGACAGCTGGACCTGAAACCTTTTGATCCTTTTGTGCACCCTGAGCCACCTCTGTGCTCAACCTGCCAATATTACAGGGAGAAGCAGGAGAACAAGGTCCATTCCATCTGCCAACTCCTTTTGAATCTTCTAGTCCCAAATGATGAGATCGGGCACTCAGTTGGCTCCTGGCTACTTCTGTATTATCCCTTTCTCTTTTGGTAACATGCCTCATCCATTCCAAGAAGCACTGAAGTATATGCATATATAAATCAAGGTTACTGTGAATATGTAAGAAACAGTTCCAGGAGAGCAGGGTTTTAAATGCCTAGATAATTCTGAATTCATATTAGGTATGGTGGTCTTATTTAATACAAAGCACATTTCTGTACAGTATTTTTAAGTGAGGAATTAATTGGCATCAGTCATTGTTGAAGGTACCCTGAGCCATTGTAACCATGGTTCAGGAAGTGTGGGAAGACCACTTCCCATTCTGCACCATCAGGCATAGATTATACAGTAGATGCCCTCCAAGACAATGGGTACCAGCCTTCAGGTACACATAACAGCAGCAGTGCAACAGATCAGTTCCTCAGGAGCTTGTGTCTTTCTTGTTTTTACAGAAATCTATGTATGTAGTATGGGTAAATTTGCTTTGACTCTCCAGCTTATATACTGCCATGCAAACACTATAATATAAATCAAATTTCCTTCTGTAGTTTAATGCATGATGAAGTGAATGGGACTTGGGAGTTGTAAACTGAGTCCTGGGTTTTCTGTTATACCAATATTAAACACTGGTAAATCAGTTCATAGGTTGGCGAGAGCTTTGTAACTGCAGTTGTAGTTGCTTGAAAGTCATGGTCACAGCATTTTTTTAAAAAAAAAAATGCTTAAAATGTAATTGAACTCAAAGTGCCCTTTCTCTGCAAAGTTAGTGATACCAAGGAGTGCTGACCCTTATAGTTCTAACTCAACTAGACTGCAAGAAATGGCATGTCCACATTCCTTGCTATCTGCAGACATTCTGCTCATAAACATTCTGCAAAGCTGGTTACTTGTGCCCCTTTGGAAATCTATGCTGTGGCATTGTATGAAGACAAATACAAACCACTTGGTTAATTGACTCCTACTGAGATTATACATTGTTGAGTATAATGTCTCCCTACTGTCCTGGAACACTGCTGGTTGGAATGTAAAGGAATCTGATTCTACAAACTGGATGTGTTTAGGAATTCGATCTAATAGTATTCCTGGAGACCTGGGCTCTAGGAGAAATCAAATTAAATGGCTTTATGAGTTGCTCACTTAAATGTTACTGAATTTACCTTTTCTGTGATTCAAATTTTATATGAAACAAGGAAAGTTGGGAATGGATTCTTTCATCTTTCATTTAACTTTCTTCTGTATCTTCATCAGAGGCTCTGAGGACCTCTCTCTTCTGAAACACCTACCATGGACAGTTCCTTTTCTGTGATGGAGAGACTTGTGAGTGGATGTCTGCCCATCTAGGTCTACTTCTGAATGAGAGGCTTTTAAACCTTGGAAAAACTGTAATATGATACTAGGGGCATTTACTCATGATAATAAGTTTCCACTAATTGAATTTTTCTGCAGTTCTGAAGTTGAAATGATTTATTTTTATGTGGGCTCTCTGGTTGGCTGCTGCCACATTTTTATATTGACTGTTGTAGTATTTTATGATGACAGTAAAAGATTTATTATAGGCCATTTTTAAGGTATTGGATTAATATACTAGATAGACATTATGTCACACAAATAAATATAGCACTTTTCTGCAATAAGAAAAAGCGTATTTTTAAAATGTGAAAGGCCCATAACAAAAAGCATGTTGGTGGTTGATACTTTGAGGATAATTCCAAAAGGCACTTCAAATATAAATGTCCTATATCAACTGGATAAGCCCTTAGGTATTTATTGCTGTGTGTGCTTGAGGAATGTTACATTAAAATTCTCATTTAGATGCAATTGAAATGGTCACTCTTTTAATTCATTACAGTAGCAAAATTTAGTTAGCAAAGTGATAGATTTTGTGTGTCGGGGGGTACAGTAGTGCTATATAATAAATACTATTAGAATAAACATGACCGCATGCAAGCTTTCAGGAAGTGAATGGCAGGTTGCAGGATTTAGGTAAATGAGAAAAGAAATAGACAGGGTGAATAAGACACAAAAAGTATATTTGGCTCTTTAAATTTTCCAACTAAATAAATACTAAGCATTAGTAATTCTAACTAGTATAATCTACATCTTCTTAGTCTTTTGATGGCAAATCGATTGTCCCTATGACAGCCGAACTACCAGCTTCTCATTTGCATTTCAGGTCTACCAACAATTACACAGTCCCAAAGAGATCAAGCTATGCACAACCAAAAGCTATCTGAATGATGCTGAGCCACATTTGACATTTGTATCTGGTGAGTGGTTCACATGAGGTGTTTTGATTTTTGCAGGCTGCCAATAACTGTGTCCAAAAGGCTTTTATCATCTTTGTCTAAAAGAGAAAGGATATAAACAGATGCTGCATTATTGAATGTCTGTTATTGAACGGCAGGAAAATTCTGTTTACAGTCAAATTTTCAAGGCATTTGTCCCTTATTCTTAAGGTCAGTGCTTGATTATGGGATAAGGGTAGAGAAAAATAAGATTTTGGCTTGCTAGAATTTTAGACAAATTTATGTGTTCCATAACTTTCTAAAAACAGAGTAAAAGGACCATCCACAAAAAGATAAGGGAGACTGGAACCTTTCTGGATCCCCTCTATTTCAAGTACTAGTTATGTATAGAAACCACAAATCTATCACATCAGGCCTTTCTTGCTGTAGCAGTGGAAGATGTGGCATCTGATGGAATCTTTGCTTTTGTGTAGTAAGGTATAGAAATGATAATTAAGTCTTGAAACTGTGATAATCTGAATGAGCAACCAATGTTATGAGAAACCTTTCACTGTTTTTCTTTGTCATCAATGTTAAGAAAATAACTTCATGATGTTTATTCTTTATCTGCCGCCGCCGCCTCCTTCTCCTCCTCCTCTGTCTCTGTCTCTGTTTTTTTGCTATGAGTTGGATTTTTTGGGTAGGAGATGACAATAAGCCTTTTCTAGTGGTATCTGATTGGTGGCCAAATTGGGACCAGTGCTGTATTTGTGAAAAAACCATAAACAGTTGGCTGAATGCTGAGTCTGAGGCTCATAGTATGCAGGGATATTTTTGAAATGAATGTTGTATTCAAAATAGAAACTTTGCCATCTTAGTAAATGGTTGGATAATAATGGAAGAGTCAGCATGTTGATCTTCAATCTGTTATTCAAAGGTGACTCACCATTTGGTTATGTATTTTAGTCTTAATTCAGTAGTTCTGTATACACACTTACTTGGGAGTGAGAACTATTGAAGTCAATGGGCTTACTTTTGAGTAGACACATTTAGATTACACTATTAACTAAGTAGTTGTCAACAGGATTTAGAGCTCCAGCACAGTAAATTGTGTGAGGTAGGCTATTTTAATGTCTTGTCTGAAAACAGATTCTTCTTTATTTCTGATATGTAATGGAGGGAAACCATTAAACTGGGGCCCTCTGTTCCCTCTCTTCCTCTGGATTTTTGAACAGATGTCAGGAGCAGACTAAGAGCTGAAGTTGATGCATTTCCTCATTGAATTGGAGCTCTAGATAGGCATTGGCCGAAGCAGTCACTACATGCCACAATGAAACTGAATGAACGAGGGGCTCCTTTCATGGACACCAGTTGGTGTCCATCTCCATCCCTTATCATGACCTCTTCTGTAAATGAGTGCACAAACGCTCAAGTAGACATGTCAACTTTGACACCTCTCCCCTGACATTAGGCAATTCAAATCAAGGCCCTTGGCACCATTTGAAGGAAAGCTCCTTTGATGCCATTCCTTAAATCATGATATAAAAATGTCACAATTTCTCTATTAAGTGATCCTTAAGAGGAAAAAAATATTTAAGCTCTTTCCTTGGGCTAGTACAGAAAGTATCAGCTTGTACAGAATTAGTTCTCTGAGTAGAAATGTATGTCTTAGCTGACTTTAGTTAACTTTGGTTTTTTTTTTTTTTTTTGGTGCCTTCAAGTCGCTCTTCAAGTTACTAGGCAACTGCTTGCACTAGTCCATGCAATTTTCTTGGCAAGGTTTTTCAGAAGTGGCTTGCCATTGCCTCCTTCCTAAG